AAAAATGCCTGGTTGAAAAAAAAGTGCAAAAAAACCGAACCCCGCCTAAAGGCAGCGATATGCATTGACAATTTGTTTGATTTTTGTTTGCAACAAAACATACAATATTTGCCACATTTGAATATTGTGACGACAATATTTTGTGTCTTCATCCGTAAAGGTAAACAGACATATACACACGTGAAAAAAATGAATTAGAAATAAAGGCAGAGCCAGGCAGAGCTTTGCACTAGAGGGTTAATTAAGTTTGGCCACATGTAAGGGAATTGAATTGTCAATCCAAAACTAACTTCTAACAAAACATAACACATTTATTGGCACAACATGCAGTTTGATTTACAAACATAAAGAACGTCAAATACAGGCATTGCACAAAGAAATTGTAGTGTCCCGAAATAATGCGAAATCGGTGAAAAATCTCAAAATGAGATTGGTTCTATTCACAGCTTCTGACGGTAGCGTTCCAAGGCGGTTAATTTCAAAAAATATCAAAATTGTAATTTTCAGTTTTACCATTCTATCCAAATCCTAGGCTTTTCCGTTTTTTTGCTCTTAATTTTTTTTCGCAAAAATCCCTAGCAAATCGAAAGATTATTTTTCTCATTTGTAAAGGGATAATTTTCCAAATCCATTCTCCCGGGGCGGGGGTAATTATAGATTTATAATATCACCGGAAAAAATATACAATCAAAGTCGTATCTTCATCAATTACATATTATTTTGGTGCGCCACGATTTTGTTGTGTGTGAATGTTCTAATATTATTAATTAAAAACTTTCTTTAGTCTTTTTTCTGTTCATTTTTCCTGTTCGAACGAATTGCAATTCATGAACAATAATAAGACCTTCATTTATCATTAAATATGCACCAACACAATCAACAATAATTTCCAAATAAGTCCATGATAATGAAAATAATATGAACAAATAAATGACCCAATAAAATTCCTTAAATTTATTTTCATTTATTTCTCTCTTGCAGTTAATTAAAGTTCCAGAAATATTTCAAATGAAACTTTATCTGCAAAATATATAGTTGGGCGAAAATTAAAAAAAAAGTTTAGTCATCTTGTTATGTTGAAATATAATGAATGGAAAATTGAGCGCAGAACTGAAAATACTCATATAGATTCTTGCATTGAGTACACATTAATTTCAATTGAAACATCTGTTCAACTAGATAATTAATGAACTTTGCACAAAAAAAAAACATAATTAAACATTCGATGTATTTAATTAAAAGAGAATTTAAAAAGCTGCCAATAGACGCTGACTATGAGTTATCAGCAGTTAAGTATGTGATGCATGCACCATACACACTTCAATATTGAGTTAACATGATAGTGAAAGGAACAATAAGTAATTGATTGATTTTAGATTACTTTTCTAACTGACTTTCATAGAAAAACACACACACACACACACACTCAGTGGCCAAATTGTAGACTCTGATTGACGCAAATTTAAATGTAAAATGAAAAGAAGTTTTCTTTTATGATTTTGGTCGCCTTGAAATGTTTGCTATGAAATCGATATTAAAATGTCAGTACGCACATGCCCGTGTCAATCAAATGAAGAAGCCATGCAAAATATACCGATTATCTATCAAGTCAACGTAGTCAAGTACCTTTACCATTATGCCAGGAAATTTTTAGTGTTAAATTTTCCACAAAAAGCCTATTATCGGTGTATTTATATTGTACCCATGTCTTGCGTCGATTACAAATAATATAAGCTATAGTATGAGGTATAGAGCAACATTTCAAAATGTAACAAAATTCAACGAACATTTCGGGGTCGAAAAAGCATTTACTATTTCATGTGATTAGCACATTTCGGTTGGTAACCTCAACTGCCATCAATTATTTAACTATTTTACACGTACAATCCATACGTTTGCATGAAGAGGAAAAAAAATGAGTCACTTGTCGAACAAGAGTGTAAGTTTGTTGATGCTATGCAACATATTCAATACTAATTATATGTGACTTTTAGTGCTCTTGATTACCTAGATAAATGAGCCGACGAACGAATTTTCTTAACAAAATACTATATAATGTCAAGTAAAAAGGTGAACATTCATGTCAATAATCAATAAATTGAGAGACCTTAGATTTCACCAATGGAACATTTGCTTGCGATGGGATTTTTGCGTATGGCCTGATGATATCACAATGGAGCGAAGTAAACATCTGGAGCAAAATAACGTCTGAAACTCGTTAACATTGAATAGAAGCAGCAGTCTGAAAATTTCTAAATTATGATTGGGCTGAGAATATTTGCGTTCAAAGAGCTTGAAGTCAACTCATCAGAACGCATTATACGTGTAAATTGTGCACAATTTACATTCCAATAGAAATAACAAAGATTTACTAGGATACACGCCAATGAATATCCATGTACTGTTAGTTGTTGGTTCAGCGAGCGCGCTGCATACATGCACACTGTCAACAGTGAAAATAGAATGAAAGGCAGTCTTCATCCATACATTCCTGAGTGTGGCTTCAATTATAAATTAACATACACATTCGCGGTGTCATATGCATACCGTACATGCAGAAGTCATATTAAAATCCACTTACAACAATAGATACCATCCGTACTCGATGTCTAGTGGATGAACCAAAACTGTAGAATCAGAAAAAAACCCATGCACACACGCTCTAACGCTTATGCATACATGTTCAAGCTATAAAAGCTTAAAAACCAGTACCACTAATGAGACCGAAACAATAAACATGCCAACATCGATGAATATTTGATGTCTATGGAATAATTTATACAATACAAATGCAAATACGTTTGGTTCATTGATTTGCGGATCATGGGCCCTTCTTCACTCCCATCTACACACACACACATACAAATTATTGGTTGGCGCGTATACTGTCGATGAACGGCAATCCGGATCTCATTTCTTATGTTTTTTGTTTTGCACTCAATCCTCTTTTGCCTTCATACAGTTAACGCTGTTGTTGTTCATTGATATTCTCGGTATCATGGAAATTGACACCCATGGAACAAAAATCGACATCGGAAGAGGCCATAAAGCCAGTCAATCTACATGCAAAATTCACTAGCAGTTAATTGACCGCTTGTACGTCTATCTGTATTGCATATATTGCAAGTACAATAGCATCCATGTTGAAAAATATGATTTTAAATTTTAAAATGCTATGAATCGGCTTTTTTTCTTGTATGCTGCTTGTTTATGCCGATCATCGTACAACACGCATAATTCTTCTGATGTTTTGCTATTCTCTTTTTAGTCTTTCAAAAAAATCTGCAATATGAATACTTGTGCTCATATCAAACTTCATAGCTTTAGTGCGAAAAACTATATTTCAGCTGTACTGAATTGTGAGATTCGTTATCAGTGTTCGTTTTATATACTGGGTCTGTACGATAAACACGCAGTGATTTTCTTCACACGATGATCTGTTTATTCATTTGTTGTTTAAAGTGATGACAGCATTTTACATCAATTTTTACATTCATAATCGTGTGCATGTAACAAATGCAATGATCTTTTGGGTGTATTGGGCAAACACTTTGTAACACATTACTTTAACATTTTGTTTATTTTGCGTTTTCTACGGAATCGAAATGAAACGAAATAATAAAAGAGTATCAAAACAATATACATTTTACAATGTATAATCTCATAGTCTTGTGAATTATACCTTGGTTTGAATTGCATAACAAGTGTCATGGATCGTTTTTCCCTTTTTCCGAAATGAAAATCGAGAATGGACAGTGATCCATTCAATCAATGCAGACAAGAGATTCATAAAATCTTAAAATGTCTAACATAATCCAAAGAACTTTATGGATTCACTGTTTTCACATTCTTTGTGCACATTTTAACCATTGTGCCGAATTGAATTGAACAAAGTTGCAGTAAAGTTGCCAAACGAAATAACGATACAATGTGAATGTTATCATCACTCTTTTTCTTGTTGTTGTTCAACTTTTTCTCCAAGAATGGGAGTAAATTGAAATAAGCAAATTTGCTTCGTCGGCAACATTAATTGTAAGAAATCCACTTTTAAACATGTCCAATAAAGAACATCATAGAAATTTATCCCAAGTGCTTGGTTGGGAATATCTACAACATTAACAGCAAAAAAAATTAGCTCTCGCTCACACAATTACTCCGGTTTCATTCTTTCTCTTTTGTGCACACAGTGAAAATCAATAATTCGATGGGAAAAGGGTAAATTTTTAAAGCGAAATGAAAGCGAGTGACGAGGACGCTATCGAAAAACACAATAATCAAGTCGATTTACAATGCATACATATATAAACACGATACGAATATATGGTGCGATATAACTGTATTTTATATACTATCATATTGTTGGCATCCATGCCAACGTTTAGCAAAAACCATATATATAATAAATCTAGTACAGTGTAGTGTGTATAACTGTATATCCAAAACAGCATTACATATTGAATAATTTCTATTGAATAAATATACGTGGGTGTATTTACAATTCACGTGGTAATGGCAAAATAAGCTTAAATTTCAACTGTCAATTAAATGTCAAGATAATAAACATGTGCAGCAGGCATACAGTTGGAAACAATCGGATGTGATGGAACACGACAAAGAGCGCCAGAGACTAGAGATGATGGACGAAGGAATGTATATGTACCTGTATTCTATATTTTGATATGTGGATATATTTATATAGTTTGGTGCATTTCTTCGTGTCTTACCGCACCGCATTATCATCGTCATCGGCATCACCATCAACCATTTGTGATCCGTTGAATAAGAATGTACGGTGCCGTTGATATGAATTTCGAGCACACACACACAGGCATATATATACACAAACACATAGATGTTTGTTTTGTGTATGGGTATTGTGTCTGTTCTGTTGTGCTGATGTGATATCACAGAGCGAGAGTTATATAGAGAAAGCGAGCTACCGATCTAATGTGAATATACGATGAAACTATTAAAGGGAATTGGTGGGTTGAAAACAACCCCCCCTGATGTCAAACAATGAAAAAAGATTCATAACATACAACACCATCTCTTGGTATGCCACATATCTGTTTTTTTCTCCACAATGTGGAGAAAGTGTTTACGTATACGTATACGTTGACATTAATAATCTGTCAAAACCGTAAACACATTATTTTCATAACGCAATTTTGCGAGAGTTCCTATTAGTTGAAAAAAATTAAATTTTTGTGTGCAAACTGTAAGTTATTTTGTGATTTTATTGTGTTTAGATTGAATACGATTTCATAAATTTTTGAAAAGTGATTTTACAGTAACAAGAAATGTAAAGCAGAGAGAAAAAAACCAATAAATGAGTTTAGAACGTTTAGAATCATATGCACATTTTCGTGATATTCTAACCTCAATCGCTCTTCACTCTCAGTTTGATATTTTTTATATCAACAATTATTTTATAATTTAAACAGGAAACGCAAAATGGTTTGGTGCGATATATGCCAGCAGAATATTTCGGGAAACATTTACAAGCACAAAAGAGTTGAGCACAGTTGGGATCGAGGTGGTATTAAATTGATTAAACAGGAAGATAAAACTCTGATCGAAGCTATACAAAACGAAAAAACATTCGTTGGACCTTCGCTGTTATATTTGAAACGTCTCGCAAATTATGCGGTAACACAAAATTTTCAAGCCACATTTTTTGGAGTCGACTCCAAGCAATGCCAAGCAATCCCAATTTGAAGATAATTCTAATGTCAGCAACGCTAAACAGCGAAAAATTCAGTAGATATTTCAATGGTTGTCCGATTATCGATGTGCCTGGACGTACTTTTGATGTTCAAACTATGCATCTCGAAGAAGTATTAATCAAAACAGAATACAAAATGAGCAAAATGGCGACATATTTGGAAGAGAATCAAGTATCGCAAATTCGGCGTATAAAAGATGGTAACTAAATGACATACTAAAATATTAATTTATTGTTTATTATTTCATTCTATAGAAGACATGCCGCGATCATATCGCTTAATATGCGACAGTCGCCTGGATTCTTATATTTTGCGAAAAGATTGTGAATCATTTGAAAACGTTTTTTCTCTCATTGAAGGCGACTACATGCCGGCCAATTATGTTCATCGTACAAAGCAACGCACCGTGTTGGGAATTGCTGCGGAAAATGGTTCACTGAATATGATGTTAAAGCTTTTGGCTTTTGGTGAAAGTGCGACCTTTAAAGATCCATTTGGTAAAAGCGCAATTGATTATGCGAAAGAAAATAAACAAGAGGAATGTTGTGAGGGTTGTGAGCTCTTAATGTGTTATGAACGTGTGACATCCACCACAACATGGAAAAATTACGTGGAAATTGGAAGAGCGTATCGATCAACACAAGGCACACAAAATATTATTGATCACAACTTACTTTTTCATGTCATTGATCATATCCATGAAAATTTGTCAAAAAATGGCGCTATTCTTGTATTTTTGCCCAGCTACGACGATATATGCGAACAACATGAAAAGTTAGTAAGCGTACATGGATTACAGGATTGGGGTTATAAGATTTTTGCGCTGCATAGCGAACTAAATGATGAAAACAATGAGGGTCATGCTCATGTCTTTGATCGCATGGAAAATGGCGTTCGAAAAATAATATTATCTACAAATATTGCAGAAACAGCACTTACAATAGATGATGTCGTCTACGTTATTGATGCCGGAAAAGCAAAATCGCTGTTTTATGACGCGGAAACCAAATCGACCATTCTCGAATTAAAGTCTATTTCACAGGCATGTGCAAAACAGCGCAGTGGCAGAGCTGGTCGCGTTCAAAACGGCTTCTGTTATCGTTTGTATTCATTGGAACAATACAAAATGATGCACAAATATAAGCCAGCAGAAATTGTACGAGTGCCTATAGCGAAAACTATTTTTCAAATTTTATTTTAAAAAAACATATTAATCAAATAAATGTAATTTCAGTCCAATTTATTTAGAAAGATGAAAAATGGCTTTTATTTTCGGCAAAGGTATAAACGTATAAATTATTTTGTATTCAATGTATTCAATTGAATTCACTTTGAAATAATTTTTTTTTTGTGTACATTATAACTAAGGCAATTTGTGTAATTTTCTTATTATATCGCATTCATTGCGCAGAAAATGAAACGAAACTATTACTATTGACTAATAATAAATGAATGATCGGTATTAAAATTATGGTAAATATAAAAAATAAGTTGGAACGATAATATGAATTTTTTTTGTATCAATAACGAACAAATTGGCATAAAAGTTCTTCCAATTTTGGTAACAAACTTTCAGCTTCCGATGGTAAAACTGAAATATTTTTCAGAACAAAGTTGCCGTTCTTTCGTTTTTGTTTTTGTTCAAATACCACAAGTCCAGGTTGATTTAGGCTA